AAAAACATTTTATTTTTATTTATTTTTTAATAATAGCTTTTTTAGTACATTATAAAATTTGTAATTGAGTCACTTAAATACACTTTAAAAATATGTTTTATTATAATTAAAATTACATTGTAAAATACACTTATTCATCATCGATTAACTATGTCGGATTAACTATGTTGGATCGATACATTATAAAATTATTTGAAAATACACTTATTCATCATCGATTAACTATGTCGGATTGATTTGAGGAGTTCTAGTCTCTTGAATTCTTCTAATAGCCTCTTGGTCATTAAGGTCATCAATGTCAAGTTCTTCATCATCGTCATATTGTGAGTAAGTGTCGTCGGTATCGGTAGTTGGAGCCGTGCTTAGTCCCATTGCGATTTCATTTTCTTCCACCGCTTCAATCTTCACCTCTAACGATGTCATGTGTTGAATTCTATCAACGCTATCCAAGTATTCCTTCAAACAAATGCAATATTCCACGAACTCCGGGCTTAGTCTTGTCCGATGTATCGAAATGATCCTGCTATTACAGAAAAAGAGGACTACAAAGCTACGCACTAGCTTGGATTGTTAGTATATCACGTGTCATGCATGCCAAAACCACGAATTGAGGTTAATTTTGTTTCCAAAAATCTAATAGATCAATTTTTTTCAAAGTCTTCTACATCATTTGTGGGGCATGCGGCCATAAAGTTAATGTGCACATACATATTTAGTTCACCCAAATCGTTATCAAATCTATTTTTTTTTTTGCGTGATTCATTTAAAACTTCGTTTATTAAATTAGTCATCGACTCTTTCTGACTTTAGCGATGGCCACTAGAAGAACCATAACCCGCAAATCCACAACTTGAAGAGTTTTATTGTTAGTCCCCCCACCCACACCCCCACCCCCACCCCAATAAAAATATTTATAATAATCAAATAAATCTTAAAAATTATGATCAAACAAAAGTTTTTGTTCCATTGAAAAAGAATTATTTGTAGCCGAATTTAAACCAAAGGCCCCACATATTTGTGTAATTAAAACTTCAACACCGATAACATGTAAATACGGGTTTAACGCTGCAACACAAAGAAAAACAAATGAGATGCTCATAAAATATTTTAATAATTTCTTTTTCATTGAACTCATCAACCTTCCTCAATCGTGATGGTCTTAGTATTGCACAATCTTTCTTGCCAAAATATATAATTGATTTAAAATAAATAAAAGACTTGTTGGATAATAAATACCGGATAAAAATGTTGTTGCATTTTTAAAATCTCCTAAAATATCGTACAAACCTTCAATCACGGCGCAATCAAGATTTCCAGTAGAATTTTCCGGATATTGGCGTTTATAAAATGAAAAAAAATAATTTTTTTGTTTTATCAAATTTTCAATGATAAAATAAGTCAAATTCCATCGAACGGCCCCCAAAGCTTTAAAACCAATGTCTTCGCAATATTTTTTATATTCCGAATTCATTTTCTTACCATTTGTGAAAATTCGGCGCAACATAATCTAAACTTATCTATTACGGGTTTACAAATATTTAAACAGTTTTGAACGGCTAAATTTATTATGTGTGCACAACAACGTGTATGAAATAATTTATCGTTTAAAATAGATGTCAAATGACGCTTTAATTTTTTTCATACATAGATTGTTATTACTAGCGTTATCAAATAAAATGTCAATTACTTTAGTAGATAAATTATAAAATGCAAGACATTTTTTAATAATTGAAAATTGACGTACACACGAATGTGGCGCACCAAATGGTTCAAACGCGATTACGCGTTTGAATAAATGCCACGATGAATGCTCAATCCAATTTGCCGCTATGCATACATAAGAAACCGGCAATCCATATGGTGCACTCCACATATCACGCGTTAAATAAATATTGTTAGGCAAAAGAGCAAACATTTGTTGCATTTCACCTCAACACATTTTCCACCCGTCTAAGGGTTTGACAATTTACCGGCTTGTATCGTGGTTGTAGTATTTTTTTGATTAACTTCATAAAGTGAGAGTTGTTGAAATGTCGGAAAGGCAACTCGACTTGAAGGACACATTGTGTTGTCATTTATCGGTTCAACTTGGCATCATACTACCATATTGAACCTTGAGTGTCAAGTATCGGTTGGCTTGAATCGCCCCCGACCTCAACCCCGGGCACTTTTTTTGGTGTGACATCTTAAAGTAGAATGTTCTTCCGCCATAAGAAGAGCTTGACACATTTTGCATTGTACCTTTCTTTTCCCGTTTGTGAGGACCACCAAGTTGTATGCATTCCAAATCTCGGACTTTCGTCCGTGTTCGGGGAGAACTTGGGCAACTTGTTCGTTTGATGCATCATGTTGTTCACTGGCCATTTTGTAAGACAGCGAAATAAATGAGAATTGTGAAGTGAAAGCGAGAGATGAATACAAGTTGAAGTCACAAAATATAAAGAAAAATCGAGAATTTTGAACGTTTTTTGCGTTTTGCAAGTTGGTATGTAAATCCTTCAACCATGACACTTGTATATAGTGTTTAGAAGGCAAAAAGACCAAAAAAAAAGGTCACCAAAGTCATAAACACCTATAAAAAACGGGTAGTTTTTATTTAAAAAAAATTGGCCGGGCCGGTTTATAACCGGTCCCGGTCCCTCGAATCACTACAAAACAACAATAGGTCCTGGTTTCCGGTCCTATAATCGGTCCTTACCGGTCCCGGTTCCAGTCATCCAACAGTCCTGGGCCGGTTTGGCCATCACTAGGCCCATAGCCCCACTAGGTTTGCCCTAGAACCAACCCACATTATAAAGGAGAGCCTTTTTTATGCGGCCATCAAGATCCAGGGGTGTGGGCTCGAGTTCAAGCTACATATTTCTCGAGTTCGAGTCGACTTTGAACACAAAATAAAGTTCGTTTAAATTAACGAGTCGGGCTCTATAACACCAATGTTTGTCTTGACTCGTTCGAAAGCTTGATTAAGCTTTACGAGCTGAGCCGAGCCAAGCTATTAGATCATACATTTTCCCAAGTCAAACACATTTATATATTTATAAATTGTACAATCAAAATATAAAATCATCGAGTTTGAACAAATAAACGAGTTAATCGAGTTCGAGCTCATAAAACATTGAAAAATATTCGAGCTCGAGCCCGACTTAGAAAAACTTAATCGAACTTGAGTCGATATTATTTTATGGAGATGAAGTGAACCTTAGCCTCAGGGCGATACAATTGTCCCTGAATTTGGTTAATTTTGACATTGTTTTGACCAACCATAGGTAGCTGTATTAAGCTAGCATTAACATCAACCATGTTGGATACCATTACAACGGCTGTGGTTCAAATTCGGAAGTCAAACAACGTTACTGGTCTTAGAGTACTTTTATCCGATGGTGATTGACGAAATACGAAAATGGAGAATATACAGATCACATGTGTCTAATTATCAGATAGTATATTCAAAACCAACCTCAAACACGTAAAAGTATATGAAAAATAGTTGAGTCACTTGAATCAAAAGCAAGAACCAACCTCAAACACGTAAAGGTTTCAACGTTGAATTCCATTTATAATTGTATTTGAACGTGTTTATCAGTTAGTTTTAACGGTTACAAAAGTGGAGATTTAGAAGGATCTATGTATGTAATAATAAGTTATAAACTTGAATTTTTAAAGATTACACATTAAAGAAACAATTTCTGTTGTTTAATAACTTGTTTTTAATATTGTATAAATTTATATAATGCACTTCCATAGATGAATTAATTGTTTTGCTACTAAGAATAAGGGGTTGTTTAGTTGATTTTTCATTTAGTCATGTATGAACAAAATTATCTGTATGGATTAATCTGTCTGTATAGATTGGGAAGTTTTGTTTATAAGGGGTTTTTCATAGATGGATGGAACACATCTTTTAACTAGGAGGTGCATATGTGAAAAACTTGTTTTTTTGTGTGCATAAACCACTCCCTAGAAGTTTTTTAGAATAAGCAACTTCACATATCATTAAACCACAACCACCATCAAATAGTTATGTTCATGTATACCTGACCGTATAAACTGTGAATTCCATTAAGTTCAATATGCCAACAGACAGAAGCTAAGGGGTCGTTTACCAAGTCATATTACTTTACTAGATGAATATGGTAGATACCAAAAATCTTACCCGGTAAGAATGAGGCAAGAACAAAAGTATTACCCGGCAAGTGAGAGTAATGACTCTTACCACGGTAAACGCTTACAGGGTAAATTGTTGCATACAATGTCATTTTTATGGACTAAAATCTTACCCGGTAAGTAAATGATAGTGTTGAATTTTACCCGTAAACGCTTATCGATTAAGTATTTGGTAAATTGTCCCTAAATGTTTATTGAAGATCCTATTATGCACGTTAACATATGCAGAGTTGAGATCTTACACTAAAGTGTTGATGGTTTATATAAAGTTGTTTTGAATTGCATGTTTTTTCAATAAAACCCTAAAATTAACAAACCCTTTATTAATCATAAGAAGACTTAATCAGATCCTATATTTAGCAAGGTTTAAAATGGTGAGGCGTGACGTCGACCTCAAGTCTTAAGTCTTACCCAACATGACAAGAAAGCAGCGTTTTTTAAGACGTGACATAAGTCGACAAATTTATAACATATATATATATATATATATATAATTTTATATATATACAACTCTGTTTTAACCGTGAATCTCTGACATGTGTGAACCCAATAAACTGCGAATAATATGATTAACTAAGTCATAAAAAATATAAAATTTAGAGTTTAAAGTATAAAAACATAAAAGTTAAAAACAAGTAAAATTAAAAAGATTGAAAAAAATGAAGTCTTCTATAAAACTTAAAGCGTGATGGCACGCACCATGAGACGCCTTTATTTAGTGGTGAATACGTATGAATATGATGTTATTGGGATACGAGATGGCACATGATGAAACCAAACATAACAACACCCGACTTTAAAACCATACCAATAATATACAGATTACCCATAAAACAAGAAAAAGTGTTGGTTAGACCCAAAATGATGGAATTTTTGCATGTTTTTACCAACAATCAACCTGTTGCTCAAAAAAACATTCAAAAATTCTACCAGTCCTTTCACAAAAACAAACGTTTATGTTAGTTGAAGACACCAAACATAAACAAATAGTTACCAAAATCTAAAAACACCGCCCCGTTAAACCGGAAGATCATCCAACACCGCGTACCCGTTTAACCCAAACTCGTTTTCCGCCTCTCCAAAGCCTTGTTGCTGCTGCTGCTGCAACACAGAATTTCAAGATTCATTTTAAGTTAAACGTACATCGATTATTGCAGACAGTACAACCATAACCATGCATCAAGAAAGATTTTAAGATCGAAAAACGTGGACCTGCTGCTTAAGAACTGCAGTTAGAAGATCTTCTTGATTGTATTGCTCAGGATACAGCAAAATGCTTTCTGCCTTGGCCTTCATCAGATCTGATTCAAATCCCGAATCGTGTGTTCTCATCTGATTCAAATCGTTCGGAACATTGTAACTTGGAATCATCCCACCTCTCGGGACCTTTGACCCCGAGCCATGTGCCAATATTCCATTGGGTAAAACAGGCAGATGATTGCTGTTCGATTGATTTTGACATTGGCTTTGACCAGCTGTTGTAATCAGTACTCGACCGTTGACGTTGTTGAATGAATGCTGCCGAGATTGATGCAAGCCTGCAAACTGCATTGGTTCTATATTCGTTGGGATGCCATGAAGTAATTGTTGAGTGTTGACTTCTTGGTATTTCAATTTTGGATTCTCGAAACTAAATATGTTTCTTTGATCCAGGATCGGCACGGAAACCGGAGATTTCGAGTTATTTGGATGACCAAGAACCGCAGCTTGGAGTGTTGCAAGGCTTTGACCACCAACGGCTAAAGCTTGAAGATCTATCCCGTTGAGTGATGACATTGACCCATATCCCATATCGGGACTACCCATAAACGAGCCATCAATTGATCCCAAATGCTGCGACCCACTGAGCCGTCTAAGATATAGACGGTATTTCTGCACCAAATACGTGCACTTGTGAGTCGAATTTGAAACTTCCAATTGGATAATGCTTTTCTTTCACTACTACAAAATCGAGAAAACTTTCAAGGGCTCGTTGTGGATCTAAAGCTTTACCTGAAGATGGCTAGCGACGTTTTCTCTTGTTAGCCCGGGAACGTTCATCAGCTCCAAGATTTTCTTCGGAACAGCTTCTGCAAACGATATTAGATTCAAGAACCGAGAGGTTAGTTTTATATATGAATCTGAGCTAGGTTAACAAATGGTCCATTCTAAGCGACCGTTTATGACACAAATTGGGTAAGTGCTAAACCGAGTAAGATTGCGGTCTCGGTAATCAGATTAAAAATGATTGTTTACCAAGTGTTTAGGTAAGCGCAGACTAAAACATAATCAGAAAGCAAAACCTTCCTTACTGGGTCAGAGTTTGTTGGTAAACAACATCTCATCTTACCGGGTAAGCACCTCTTACCCAATAAGAGGCGATCAGCAGATAATAAACAATCATTCAAGAAAATAAATGAAAACTAGAAAACTTCTTACTGTCGATTCCAAGCTGATTAACGGCTGCTACAAACTGTTGATGTAGCTCGACGGACCAAACGACACGAGGCTTCTTTGAAGAAGAAGAGCTGTCTGGTTCCTCGGCTTCATCCTCATCGTCTTTCCTCCGCTTTGCATTTTTCCAATTATTCCCTTCGTTTGCAGAAGACGAAACGTCGAGATCTTCACGGGGTTTCGGCACTTGGTCAGCATCATCTGCACTTGTTAACGGCTCGAAGTCTTTCCACTCGTGTTTCCGTCTTCGAACCACATGTTGCCAGATGTTACGCAATGCCTCAATCCGAACGGGTTTTATCAAATAATCACAAGCACCATGCGTAACCCCCTTCATAACTACACTCTTGCTATCATCTGCTGACATCACTGTAAAATCAAGAAAATTATGAATCTTGATTATGCAAATTTCACCAATAATTCGAGAAATTAAACCATAAAAAACTTGAATTTCAATTGAGAAATCATGTTAGCAATTCAACCAAAATGAAGAAATTGGTACGAATTCGTGGACTTACTGATAACAGGGAGGTCCATCTCGAGGCCAATATGTTCAAGAAGTTTGAATCCATCCATATCTGGCATATGAACATCACTCAGAACTATATCGTACCCATTTGTGTTTTCCCTCAAGAATGATAAACCAATCTCAGCTCTATTGCATATAGTTGCTGCAGATTCATAAAACAATACAAGAATTTTGAAGTCAATTATTTTCCATCAAAGCCCAATTTAATAGCACATGAATATAATAATACATAAGAAATAGAGTTAAAATTCATTAAAACAAGCAGATTAAATGCCAAATTGGGTTCAATTGCATCAAGGGACTAAAATTTCATAATAAACCCTAGCAGTGTGGATCAATTTGGTTGACGTATTTCTGGATCAGATTGAAGAAAATGGGTATGTTTTATCTGATTATGAACCCTAAATCTCATTGGGTTTTTTCTTTTTGATCGACGCAAGAAATTAAAAGGGAAAAACGAAGATTTTTAAAGTGCAAGTGTTCGTATGTACCTTCGTAGTTGCAATTTTTTAGCATCTTCTCTAAGATCATGAGACAAGTTGGGTCATCATCAACAACAAGCACCCGGAGACCTGCCGGAAATTGGTCTGGTACACCGACGGCAGAGGCAGCGGCGGATTTCCAAGAAGCAGAACTTGAACCAGGCATCATTAATCTTTGAATTGCACGATTCATCCAGAGAGAACCTTAATCACACCCAAAAACATGATGGATTCTTTGTGTTTTTTGGATCAATCCCAATTGAATTTAAGCAAAAATATGCAATACCCAATTGAAGAAAATAGAAAATAAAAACACCCACAAACTTAATTTCGTCAATATTTTCAGTAGAGAGTGGAAAATTACAAGAAATCGTTTTGTGCTTAAAAGGGTTCAACTTCCGGAGATTTATGGGTTTATATTGGTGCTTTTCTCTTAGGAAAATTTAGTTTCCCCTTTTGTTCTTCATTTTCTTTTTTTAATTGGTATCAATTATACCAATTAAATTGATACTAATAGAATCACCTGACACTATCGTATAAAGTATGTAAATTTAATTGGTATATAGTATTGAAAGTTGCATACTATGATAATATCATGTTACCGACTTATTTAATTAATTATTTATTAATTTTTATATGTTGAATATTAAACATGTTTACATCATTTGAAGTTGATACAAACTGGTACGAACATATATCAACCAAAAAAAAGTTGGTGCTACCAATTATATATAATATTGACGTGATATTGGAGGAAAAAAATTGATACCATATTAAGTCCATCTCTATTAGAAAGAAAGAGGTTTGATTAAGCAATGTCCTTTTAGTTTTTTATATTTTACTTTTAAGGTTTTGTTTGTAATAAGGTGGTGTTCGTTTATGGCTTTATAAAACAGATGACTTATTTATTAAGTGATATACATCCGTTGTTTAGAACTTAATCATTAAGCGAGTAACTTAATTTATACTTACGTTATTATAATTATGTTTTCCTCGATAAAACTATCGTTTTTTTATCTTACCCTCTTATATTATATACTAGGTTCGATCACGTGTATTACACGGGATAATTTGAAAAAATTAATTCATTTCAGGAACTTATCTTACATATATGAATGATCATCGAAAGTACGATGTTACTTCAAACTTGTACTCTTGAAATAACTCTGAAATATAACTCTGAAGAATAACTTTGAAAAATGACTTTTCAGACTTAATTTAGAAATGAAACTATATCAATAATTAGTTAAAATGAAATTAACCCTATAATAAAATTAAATTTAGAAATTAAACTATATCAGTAAATTGAACTTTAACTTAGAAGTAAATTTAGAATGACTCTTCAGACTAGTACTTTTGAAATAACTGTAAAGTAAAACTTCTCAGACTTCATAGATATGTATAGGCAAGTCAGAAGCTCTGCATGCACTATGCAGAGACTCTACATGCACTATACAAAAGCTCTACATGGTGCTCCGTCTGGAAAAAAAGATTTTAGAGTTTAGGTGAGCTAACTTTGAAGAATGATTCTTCAGACTTGTAATATGGAAATAACTCTAAAGAATGATTTTTCAGACTTATATTCTTGAAATAAATCTGAAGTATAAAATCAATCTCACTAAGTCTTGAGTATATGAGACATTTAACTCTTGAGTAAGAGCTCTGTCTCTTGATGTCTTCTACATGAGAGTTCTTGGTCCAGCCCCCTTCAAAAGACTAAGTCCTAAGGATTACACTAAGAGGCTCTGCATGTACAGTAAGAGGCTTTGTATGTACAATGTAGAGGCTCTGCATGTACAATAAGGACTCTGCATGTACAGTAAGAGCTCTTACTGTACATGAGTTTATTTTGATGCGGAGCACACACTTATACTTTATTTTTTTTTAATTGTTTCTAGATACATGTTTAGGCCTTGATCTTCTTTAGAATACAACACGGGCTCTGTATATGAGACACTTAACTCTTGAGTAAGAGCTTTGTCTCTTGATGTCTTCTACATGAGAGCTCTTGGTCCAGCCCCTTTCAAAAGACCAAGTCATAAGGACTACACTAAGAGGCTCTACATGTACTATGTAGAGGCTCTGCATGTACAGTAAGAGCTCTTAATGTACATGAGTTTATTTTAATGCGGAGTGCACACTTGTACTTTATTTTTTTAAATTGTTTCTAGACACATGTTTAGGCGGGAAAAATTAATAACCGTCGCAAATTAACCGTCCAAAGGGACACATGTCACTTAAATAGACCTATTTGAACCGTAAGTGAAAATTGTGACTAGATACATGTTTTAGGGAGGAAAAATCAATAACTGCCGTACAGAAACATGACACGTGTCCCAAAAGTTACTTATTTATTAGGGTTATAGATGTCTCCTTATTAATGTTAAACAAATTTAACAAATAATAATTATTTATTTACCACTTATTCCAACAAAACAAAAATCTATATAAATGTATTCATCAAGACTAGAAGGTGCTCGTATAATATAGCGAGATATATCTCAATTTCAGTGTTTTGGTTTTATTATTTATCTGTGTCAATATAATATGATTTTTGGTGGTTTTGAGAAAGCGATAATGTTTTTATTTTTGAATAAAATATAAATTTAATATATCATAAAAATTTAAAAAAAAAATTATATCGATATTAGTATCAAATTTACTATTTAAAGTTCTGGTTTTTGTGTAATTTTTTAATCAATTAGTTTATTTATAATTTAATTTAGATTTAATAACGAAGTAATTTTTTTATCATTTAATAATATAACTTTTATAAAGATAATAATTAAGTATTTTGTTATAATAAATGATTATCTTAATTATATTTTAGATTTTTTATATTCAAAATGAGATGTATATCTCGTATTTGATTATGTTAATCTATAGTTACCCAAATTCAAAATTGAAGCTTTAATAAGTTGTACTTACATAAAGTTTACTTGTGATCTTGAATTCTAAGTAATATGAATCAATAAACAGTACTTTATACATAAAAAATGGTTTTTAAAGTTTTTATCAAATGTTTTATAACATAATATAGATATAACTTATTTACAACCTAAATACCATAAAATTACTATTAATGTCATCACCAATTTAATTTATTGTTTTTCATTACTTCTTTATACGAATTTATTATTTCTATATATTTATATCATGAACATATAAATAAAATATTGGAAACTTTAAAATATGTATGATTTAAATATAAAAAAGCATGCTATTTTTTGTATGGAATTAAACAAAATTCTCCTGCTATCTACCTTAAAAGAATTCTTGGAATATAATCTAGTATTATTTTATTAATATGCTACAACTTCCAAAACCTTTTTATAAAGTAAAAAAGCAAATATAATAAAATAAATAAAGTAGAAAGTAAATCATACAAATGCATATACGGAATTTTCAGTCGTTCCGTTGTATATATATAATTAAAAAAAAATATACGGTTTCTCATACAATTTTAGGTTAATATGTTAGATAACCTAACAGTAATATTATATTTTTATTGAATAAAGATAATATGATTATATAATTAGTAATTTATTAAATTCATACAAATTCTCATAATATGTGTAAATTACAATCAGAATTGTTGTAATTATTTTGAAAGCGAACTTATTGAGAAATACATTGAGCCGGTAAGTGGAGTTGACTTGCCACCCACGTGGTTTAGCTAATTCAATAGCCTTTGGAGAAAAGCAATAAGTACCACCGTACATACGTGAACCAATCCAACAAACAAGGAAATGATGCCTCTTGGGGCATCTGAGAAGGGGGGGGGGGGGTAGTCTCCTTCCTAAGGTCGATCGATAAAAATCTCCTGTGATACTTCTTCGAAAGAAACTTAATTCTCGACATCAGTTAGCAAGCAATTAACCATCTTTCTCAAATGTTTATGAGTTTAGTTTTTAAATGTTCATGATTATTTATTAGAACAAGTGTTCTAATAGAATTATATGACAATAGAAAAGAATATACGAAAACGTTCTTTTTTAAGAATATAGGTAAAAAGATAAAATACCCATAACTTAATTTATCTAATATATTGTTTTTATAGTAAATAAATTGGTAAATATTAAACCAAAATGGTATAATTAAAACAAATGCGCCATAATATAGACTATAGGGTCATAGAGAAGTGCGTGTTAAACCATGGGACGGTCACGTGCAGATGTCGTTGTTGCTCATGTGGACCCCATCACTTCAACAAAGATCCAATAGAATTGCATGGTTTTATGAGAACATCAAGTACCTCTAATTCATTTCTATTTTTAATTATGTCATGTTAACGTTTGTAATCATCGTCTATAGATATATAGGTTATGTTTGGTAAATTAATCCATAACCTATATGTTAAATAATTAATAAATTATATTGAAAAATATTAAATAATTAAT